GTTTTCCAAGATTGACCCATATCTTAAAAGAAGAACTGTAGTAGAACAAAAACTTCATGTACTGTCACCATTAGATTACTGCTTCTTCCAGTTAAGATTGGTTGAGAAATGTCACTACTGATACTTCAAAACTGCAGAAATGTCACCTGTTTCCAGTAGTACTTCTCCAGATAATACCAAACTGCCTCACAGACGTTTGGAAATACAATTATGCTACGGTCAAAGGACTTAAATTTGGCAATGTATCAACATTTATATCTTAAAATGGGAAATAACAGCCAATCTAGAAATACACATAGAAAATGAACTTTTGAGCCTAGAACTGCCTAATACTGCCTAAAACACACTACCATACAAACATTAGACTGTACCCTTGTACAAGGTTCCTGAAGCAATTCATGCACTCCAATATTTTTTGGATGTGTGGATTTTATCATTTAGTCCTCCTTCAAAAGCCTCAGGAGAAAAATATTTTGCGCTTAAACTGCAGAAAACAGTTAAATGCTAATTCTGTTATGGCTTCAAAAATTAAAGTAGCTTTCAACTGTCCAAAAAGAAAGAGTTATATCGATTCTAAAAATTAAAGATAACTTCAACTTCTTATATTAATAAGGTCATTGGTAGCTAAAAGTTTGGGATATGTGAAAGGCAGATAGAAATATTTTAGATATAAAGGCAGCGTATATATACGCTCGATTAAAAAAATATGCAATGTGCTGTTTCCCTGACATTTTGTTTTGAAGTCTCTTATTTTGATGTTATTCTCCCTTATTCCTACAAAAAAATACTGTCACTTGTAGATGATCAGAACTTTTCAAGTTAGTCCTAAGCAACAAGCAAATGAAATATTGCAAGACAGTATTGTGTCAGTTAAAAATGCTGAAAGAAAACAATTGGCCAGTTTTAAACATTCTGTAAAATTTTACTTCTATTATCCCTTTCTTATTTGAGCTCGTAAAGTTTTTTTGTTTTGTTTTTTTTAAATGCTGAATATCAAGATGTCCAGCATGCAAGAAATCCAATTTTTCCCTCCCCATTGCTGGAAAGTACGCGGCTCAGGGAAGAGGCTTCGCCAGGGAGCCCGGCACAGCCCGGCCATGTCGAACGTCTGGGCTTACTGCGCGCTGTGAGTCAGCGCAGCACGACCAGTCCTTACGACTGGGTAACGTCCACACGGCTCCACTCCCAATAAAGACTGAAGAGGCTAAATCAAATCACAGCCTGGCTTTCCACTGGCTTTTTCAGATGCTTTTCCACCCCCTTTGGTGGCTGCTAATGACTTTGCACTGTACCACTGTCATCTCTTAGTCAGGTCTCTTTGTGTATTTGACAATAACAGAAAATAAAAGATACCCAGCTCTCATTGTAGAGTCCAGCCTGTCCAAACCCCTCTCTGCTATTTCCCAAGACTTACCATCTTTTATGGCTTCCGCTACAACTCCCTGGCCTGACTTCTCATTCAAGTTGCTCCAGAAGACAGACCAAGGTCTTTTTGAGCAAAGGGAAAAAAAAAGCGTTTGGCGAATGCTAACGCTTCTGCCATTGACAAAGTTATTTCTGCGGACAGATCCATTTTCACGTCGTTCTGTCTCCGACACAAAGGCTTGTGCTCTGTTCACTGTCCTGTCCTAGTCACAGATCTCAAAGCCATCAAAAAGGCAGAAGATGATCACAGGCACTTTTAGCACGATTACTTGTGCTACGCAAGGCCAATCCGCAGTGCAAACTTCACTGCGGTAAGAAACGCACGGTGTCACTACGTCCGCCACGGACCTGCGTGGAAACGGGCTGCTCTTGACCACCTCCCCTTGCCATCCCACTCACCTCTCTGCTCATACATGTTTTGCCCTCTTTAATTCTTTTTTTTAAGTCTTTTCCATTGCAACAGTACTGAATGTATGTTTCCAATTGTTTTGAGACTCTGGAAGGTCCTTGTGAATGACAATGAGTTGATGAGTTCAGATAATTAGCAGTGATGACTGGGCAAATCAGTGCGGGAAGGAGAACAGTCGTCTTGATGCATTTTCAAAATTAAAATGCATTTCATTTTGAAAAACAAAAGAAAAAAATAGAATTTAAAAGAGGAGGCTGTCTTATATGCTATAAACCAACTGTGCATCAAAAAGTAGTGTCCTGCTGCTCAAAGGGGACTTTTTGTTGAGCTGTAGACAAACTTGAATGTCACAAGCTGTCCAGTTCACATTGCCATCAGTCAGGAAAAGCAAATGCCAACAACTTTTAGGGACAGATACACACACACGCACACTGGTAGGAATGCATCGTCTAGAAAGAGAAATTCTTTCTAAAGCTTACGGCGAAGCTGCCCAGTAGCCAGTCAGCCCACAGACCAAGCTTCAGCGGCCGTGAGCAAGCTCCACAGCCCCCCCCACCGCTTCCACGCAGAGATCTGGGGGAGACCTGAGCAGCGGGGAGCGGCGCTGCCTCTCCCTGTTCCCCACAAAGGCATCAGCCGGGGCGCTGGACAGCACAGCTCCTAAGTTCATCCAGAAACTGTCTGAGAAACTTTTGAAATAGGCTGTGGAGGAGTTGGACAAGTGCAAGAGCAGACAGGAAGAAATGCCAGCTCCCCTTCCTAACACTGGGTGGTATTTTCAGAATATATTCTTTTCAAGAAAAACCATAAAACTTGTAAATAAATGTACATTTCAATGAGTAATTTTCATTCTGGGAAGAGTCAGAAAAGGAAAATATGGGTTTTCCTGCTTCCCAAAGGAGCATTTGTCCCTTATCCCAGTCACGGGCAGGTAGGGAAGAGTAATTCCCTGTTGCCTCCCGCAGGCAAGGCCACCCTCTCACCTCCGGAAAGTGAGGTCGGGCATAACGCAGGCTGCTGGCAGGATGTTACACACTACACGGTATTTTTTTCCATATGCTCTGTTACAACAGCAATGCACAGATGGACTATAGCGGTGTATAATGAATGTGAGGGTTAGACAAGTAAGCAGAGATTTCACCCGACAGAAAGCACACCAGTTCCTGCTCTTTCAAACAACGACAGTCTCCTCAGGCCCATGCTTGGTCGGAATCCAGGTTCATGTTCAATTCAAGAAATAGTCCAAGTTGTTCGATAAATTGGCTTAAGTGTAGGCCAAACAGCGTATTTCGTTTCTTCATTAAAAGTTCATTTGAATTCTACTCAACATTAACATATAATTTTATTTTATAATTGGTTACTGAAGGTTATGCAAAACCACCAAATCAACTTCAAGTATGACTACACGCCGCTTCACCGACAGCAAAAATCGAGCTTTATATGTCAGTTTTTCAGTGGTTATGACTCTGTAAAAAACTCTAGGTATCCTTGGCAGCAGTTTAGAATATACTAATTTTAAAATGAAAGAGAATCTCTCACATTTAAACAGCTGCTCAAAGACTTCCAAAAAATGTAAAGAACCTTGAAAATGTGTTCAAAAAGTTGGATTAAAAGATATTCACTAACTTGATTTATTCTCCCTGTGTGAAACATGGCAGAACCTTCCAGGAAAACAATTCTAAAACACAGGGAAAACAGTGACCACTGTAAAATACTGTGCTGTGGGAAAACACAAAAACTTTTTCCCAGGCTGTGCTGCTGGGCTTTTCAGACTATCTCAGAACCTCAAATGTGTCATACCTTCCCATGGGAAAAGAAATATTTTAAACGCAGTATCAAAATAATAAGAAGAAAATTTAAAAAAAACCCATCGTCTAATGACACAACTCCCCTCTTCCTAAAACCTGTAATAATTCTATTTTCAAAATTAATTTCCCACCAAATAAACTAAAAAAATAAGAGGGTAGCCTGCAGTTTTATGCCTAAGAAAAAAGTTTGCAGAACTAAATGCTAATTTTGTAAAGCTTGGTTCATGGTTTACAATGTCCCCAAGGTATTCATAGTAATATCCAGTTCGATGAAGTAATAAAAATAACATTTTCTTCAGTTAAAAAATAACTCCTTTATCTTTTCATGCCTAAATCAGACACCTGCTGAATCAAGTCATATATTCAGTGAGAAAGCAATAAAATATTCCTGATTTTATACAGAGGATTAAAGAATCATAAATATGCTACAAGAGCTATGCGTAGCTACGTGCTTATTCTGCTTGTGAATGGAAAAGGAAGGAAGGGTCTGCGAGGAAAGTAGCCAAAGGAAACTGAAGCAAATGTAAAAAGCATTTTGAGGCTATATTTAGAGGAAGACATTCTTCATAGATTTGCCAAGCCATTCACGTCACTTCACACAGCATGTTTTATCCAGCTTTATAAGTCTATGAGAGAGCAGGGGGGGGAAATCTGGATCAGTTGCCAGAAATAGAAATCTTGCATTTATGTAGAGGAACAAATATTTTAAGCATGTGAATTCAAGAGTACTTTCCAAGGGGGGGGGGGGGGGGGGGGAGGAGGGGGAGAGAGTGTTGGAAGAAAGGAGGGGACAGAGTGTTAAAACTTTCTACTGATAGCACAGAAGGATTCTGCAGCATATAGTCTATAAGTACATGACCTAGCATCTAATAGTCGCTTTTGAGCCCAGGCTCCCTAGCCTTAGCCGTACCCACTAAAAATACTACAACGAGACAGTCTTCAGCTGGTATATATACATAAAGTAGCTTAAGACCTGTCCATCTTCATGTATATAAGGTATTTATATAAGCAATTAGATATTTCTCCTCTATAATGTGGTAAAGAACAATCTAAGATGAATAAACAAACACCAAACACAAGCTCAAAGGTGAAAACAGAAACCAAAATACTCCAGTTTTATAAGAATATTATGATTTTTCTGTAGCTCGTGTAGCACATGTCACGAGGTTCAGTTATTTGCATAAAGAAATGTCAAGCATACAAAAAAATATGTCAGTACCAGATGTAACGGTAAGAGGAACAAACCGCATGGAAATTTCCTGTTAGTGACCTTCTGGAGGGTGGGGATGGAATTATTCTGACATATAGGACTGATTTTACTTAAGTTTACACAAACGACTTCTATAAAAAGATTTTACCTTCATTCCCTTCTCCAGGTGGCTGATAAAACGAAAGTCCCAAAGATATGATGGCTGCAATTTCCAAGATAATAAGAGTCACATCCTGCAACGCTTCCCAGACTAGCTGTAAGAATGTTTTTGGCTTCTTTGGAGGTATAAAATTTTTTCCAAAAATAAGCTTTCTTTTTTCTAGGTCTGCAGCAGTGCCAGCTAATCCTGTAAATAAAATAAAATAAATTAAATTAAAATTGCAGTGAAATAAAAAATACCCATTTATATCTTCATTCCTATAAACTATTTCTCCAAGAACAACTATAGACTGTACTATCTGTGGCATATTAACAAATAGGTAGATATTCCACTTTAATTTTGCTTCTGCAAGATGATTTGTCCTTACGTTCTGAACAGAATCCCTATAGCCTCTATTTAGTACTAATTCCTGCCAGTTTTAATCATAAAAAAGTCTTTGAATTATTCGGTTTACGTTAATAAGACCTACGTATATAGACAGACACATACATGTAAGCAATGACTTCTGAAAATAGATCATAAAGCAGAAATAAATTGTATTTGGGATGAAGTTGGAATAGCTATTGGCGGCTTTTGGTAATGTCCGTAGAAGCAGCGTACATATCTTTGTTCTGACCTCAAAGTATAAACCAATAAAGCATCTCTTGTTCCACTTCAAAGCAGCCTCTCTTGGTGCCTACGTACTGCCACACAATCGCTGGAATGAATTGCATCAAATTTTTGTTAAGTGAAGAAAAGACAGCGGAAGTCACAGGTTACATATGCAAAGAAAGTAGAAAGAAAATGATACAGTTCCTTAAATCGATATAAAAATGCATGCGTTTTGCATGATAGTTCAACTTAAGAACATTTCAATTTAAGGATACAGTGTAAGAATGTGTGGTTGCGCTGAACAACCCACTTCGGTGCTTTTTTTCCTATTTTTGAATTATATTAATGAATGCATGTCTAGCACCTTTTCAGGAAAAAAGAAAAAAAAGAAAGACTTGCAAGTGCTAGCGTAGAATAACGGTGGCTAAGTATCGCTCTCAGCAGCATAAAGAACTGCAGTAAAGTAAATCATTACATATATCTGCCAAATAATATTTGATATCAGTTGGAACTTTTACAAAACTGTAGGTTTTGAATGTGATCAGCAACGTAAAGTTATTCATGCTTTTTCACTCTAATGTGACACAACAAAAATACTTAAATTCAGAGTTGGCCTCGAAGGGATACAAAGGTGCCTGCAAGAGGAAACGATGGACCCCACGCTGGAAGGATCCCTCTCCTCAGGCAGTCGAGGGTGAGCCCTTGCCTGCCCAAAGGGTATCAACACCTACAGGGTACTTCAGGAACGGAAAGCCCTTCAAGACGTCAGGCAAAACAAGTCAGGATCCTCGTGTGCTGACGGGACTCAGCTTTACGTCGCGTTCATTCGGGACTGGTGCAACTGGTCCCAGCAGCGTGCATGGGCCAGTACGTCACTTCTCGGATGAAAGCACCAGGCCCAAGCGCAATTTCCCCGAGACGAAAGCGATGCTCTCCTGAACATACCAATCGTGCCACAGTGCAGGCAGAGATGTTGACTCACCTTTCACGTAAGGTTTATAATTACAGCTGTTGTGTAGCTTCTGGCTCTTGGTTAACTCATCAAACTTTCATTTCACCTTCAGCTTCTAAGAAACACTATCTTCCTCTCCCAGATAAAGGCATGCTGTAGTTATTATTACCTCACTTCATTTAATTTTCAGTACCTAGCGCTTAGTGACACCGTAACAGGTTCCAGCCATGAAGAAGTGTGTCTGCGTTATTCCCCACGACCCAAACAATAACACACCAAACCTCTCTGCTCCTCCGGGAGCTCCCAGGCAGCTTGCAACGCGGGGTAAACCCTTTCCCCCACGAAACACGAGGCGCAGGCTGTGAGCCATTTGGGTAGTTGCCCTTTTGTGAAGCCACGCAGATCACAGAAGTTAGGACAACGCACGTGAGAGATCAGCTCACCACTGATGGGATCTGACAGAGGGACAAGCCTTCAGCAGAGACCAAACACACACAGTCTGATGAGCTTTCAGAGGGCTGCAGAGCCCTTCAAAGCAAGGAAGGAACGTCACTACAAATGACACCCACAATTTGCACTAGGCCCCCAGAACACAGCCTACTCCAGCGGTGACTTCATACATAAAGGGGAAAGTACTTGCAGAGCAATACAAGGCAGAAAAAACTCAAAAGCCCGTTGGAAAGTGGAAGGAAGAGATGTCTGCAAAATGCCTCTTTTCCAACACAGACCATATGTGCACAGCGGTGGGCCCGCTCCAGCGGGTAGGCAGATGATGGGTACTGCACAGTGGGAAAGGGACGGCTGAGACAGTACAGGGAAGAGCTGCAATATTTTTCAACAATCCTAATTATATTTACCTAGACATGATGACTTAATGACTTCAAAATTACACTATATACTTTACTGTCAGGCGGCAATAAAAAGTATACGTATCCCGTCCTGTGTTACTGATCGTAATGCACATATAAATAAATACCCGTACAGACCGAGAAGCCTCCAAACAAGAGAGGGATATTGGAACTCGGAGAGCTGCTTTTTCTCTGAGACAAAAATTGTTCATTGAGACACCACGGAAATTTAGACACCATAAGGTTGAGGACTAGCCTGAGTTTAAAGCATTTACGGTCACCATTATCTTCCAGACTATAGTCTAAGTAACCTACATTGGAATTTAGACATAAATTTTATTTCATTGTACTCTCTCACTTTTCATAATAACTATTATCTTCCTTAAGACCCATAAATAGGCAAGGGTAAATAATGTCTGTGATTTTATTCTTTTCTATAAGTCTGTCTCAGTCAAATTACTCATCAGTCTCATACATAAAAAAAAAGTATATTCATCTTTAATTATGAAATTTATCTTCTTGTAAATAACAGAAATACTGGAAAATGAAATTCAACATTCAGTTCAAGCCATAAAGCTTCCCTTCTCCTGAGATCTGGCCATCACTCAAAAAAAAACTATTCAGCAAAATTTTGTGGGTTTTTTTTCTCCCACTGATTGCCAGAACTTACACTCCTATACTGAGAGAAAGGAAAGGAAAGCGTGAAGAACTCTACAGACCAATTGATGAAATCTGAAATCACATCGTAAGTCCTAAGCCTTACTCTAGAGATAAGGTCAGAAAGGGACAATAAAATACATAGAGAAGCCCAAGTTATACAAAGGTACAGCTAAGGCAAACGTGATTGAGAATCTGAGGCAATGTAAGGTGTTTGTTACAAACGCTTCCATAAATTCTCCATACTATTGCCAGCAGCAGCGATAAGGGGGGCGCTCCTTTTTCAAATAATCTGCTTTATTCAGAAACTTTATTTCAAATAGTGCTAAAGGTGTTTTGAGCCAGCCTTAGTTGCTCGAAGAGGATTAGAGGTCACTCACGCTTTCTGTCGCGCTGGCAGATCCGCGGGATGCTGCTGCCCAGCTAGTGCGCGCTGACAGGCGGTGCAGATGGTAACAACGTCAATTAGCACAGCGAGAGCTGGAAGTGGACATCTGCCCTCACCAGTGCTTTTAACCAGGAGATGCCTTTCCTGCTGCTAGATTTTTTATGGGGTTTTTTCAGATTACACATACTGACTTCATTACTGTTCCTAAATATTACTTTTTTTTTTTTTTTTTTTTTACTACTCACTTGTCCCTTAAGTAGAGTCCTGTGACAATAATGAAAGAGCACTGCAAATGAAAGTAATTTGAAATATCATTTCTATATGAAGATATAAAACACCTAAGGAAGTGAAAAAAAACCGGTGGGGGTTAAAAAAAGTGAATGGAAATACCAGTTCAGTATGACTTCACATTTTATATGTTACTGGCAAAAGAAGCAGCCTTCCATTTTATATTCTGTATGACAATAAGCCACAGGCTGGCTGGTTTTACGTTCACTTGCCCACACAAGCACTAATACTTAAAAAAATGAAGTGCTTTTCTATGTAGAAGCTGTGCAAGACTTCTTTGCTTGACCCAAGTGTTTTAGAATGATTATGCAGATTTGGGTTAAATTTATATATACAGAAAGTATACACAGGTTTAGGAAATATTGTGAAAACTTACTACTGATGCTTCCAGCACTTAAGGTTTCAGTTTCCAAACATTCTCCCCAAAATTTGTTTGAAATTTGTGGGAGAATGAAAACAATTACATAGAAAACATTTTCTGCGATGTTGTGCAGTATATTAAATGTATTTCTGATTTCATCTGGCACGCCTTTATACAGAGATTGTTGCTTTTTTTGAGGAAGAAAAAGATTAAAAAACTGGAGAAACGCCACATAATGAATTTTCTCTGTTCCTTATCTACATCTGTCAGCTACTGCACACTGAATATAAAAGCGTCATTTCAATTAATGCTTCCTGGAAAATTGTGTTTCTCTGACAGTCATCTCCACTGCAACCAAATGGAGCATGACAAACAGCGAATGATTTTGATGCTGCAAAAATAGCAAAAGCACATCACTACTCAAGCAACAATTTAAAAACCCCATAAAACTTTTAAGAGAATATTTCACATCTGGTTAAATTATGAGATGAAAAATGGAGAATTTCCATTTGCACTAATTGTGCAAATAAACCATTCATTACTTATAACTTTCTTCTGTACATTTTCTGATGCATCCAGAAAAGTAGATAAACATTTCAAATAGCAAAGCCTGTAAACAATGTAATTTAAAAATCACTGCATATGTAACTTCAAATGCAAAAAAAAAGAAAAAAAAAGTTCAGCAAGGAAATTAAGGCTTCAGAGTGATGCTGAACTGCTGTTGAACTCAATGAATAGAGATAAACCAACTACTTTGGTTAGTGAACTCCAACGGCAATCAGAGGTGACACAGAACACAGAGCTGTATTTTATCTCCCGAGCCCCTATCACCCTGGTCTCAAACTCTCTTCTCAAGTGATGAGCATTCCTAGCATCACGTTACCTAGGTCTTCACAGCAACTAAAAAGTAAAACACCACATAGTATCACCTCAACTATGATTTCACTTTCTTTGCCTTGTTTCACCAGGTCCATTTATTTCACACGTAACTATGAGACAATCCCTGCCATTACAACTGCTACATAACGCTTTAGTAGAACTTGCCCAGGCCCACCAACTTCTATAGATCTCCCACAGATTCTCAGAACTTCACAACATGAA